AAAAAAAAAAATTCTTGACTGGGTATATCCAAGCGTTCATGTATTTCCTATAGTATCCCACCCAATATCCAGACTGAAAATCCAAGTGAACTGCATGTGGATTCATCACATAAGATTAGACTGACCAGGATTCAGTTAAGGGCTTGACTGTTTGGAACTGGATTCAGGTTAACTGCTTCCAACCTGTTTTGGGTTGGGCCATTCTCATTCAATTCCCGCAGATAGGAGAGAATTTTTAGTGTTCTTGTAACAAAATAAATTCCTTTCTAGCTAAACATTTATATTTCCCATGATTAATAAAATTCCTTCCTTTATAGTGTTCTTGTAACAAAATATAAAACATTTATATTTTATAGTGTTCACCATTTGATTTGATTCACACTCAATGTACAGTTCGTGGTTTGAAGGTCAGATAGGAAGGCAGGGAGGTACTGGTTCATGGCCTCTTCTTGTCTTTTCCTTATTCCTATTGATAGACATTATTTTCTACATTTCTTGCTTTCTAATAAAAATTCCATTTCTGACCCCCCCCCCCCTCCCAAAAAAAAGGAGGCAGGGTGGTACTGGTTTATCCCTCCCTAGTTGTTTTTTTGCTTCTTTGCATCACTAGTGTTTCACCACTTTTGGGCCTGTTATTGTTGTCTTTTCCTTTTGCCTATTGATAGACTTACTATTTTCTAAATTTCTTTCTTGCTAATAAAAATTCCATAACTGATCCCACTCCCAAAAAAAGAGGGAATCTAATTATCCAAGTTATACCAACATCAGCCTATTCAGCACTTCAGCTTGTGATAACCCAATATTAGGAGATATGAAACTAGTTCCATGTAACTCCTATCTATTAGCAGATATGAAACTATTACCTGAATAACAGTCTTGAATTTGCTTTGTAAATGATAGAATTCATACTTAATTTTATTAAGGGCCTGCAAACACCTAAAAGAGAATGACATTTAAGTACAAGATTTCTATATCAATGCAAAATAGAAGAAATCAAAAGCAAGGGAATTAACAATGATAATGCCATGAAAGCAGTAAATATTCAGAAAATAACATACATAGACAGTAACAGAATATAAAAAGGGGGAAGCATAGTCGTCAGCTTAGACAAACTGACAAGTGTCTATAAAAGTAAGGGAAAGAATACATTAAGATTGACAAATTGTAAATGAGGATGAAGATAATATTGACTAAAGGTTACAAAAATTTTTACAAAATCATCTATAAAATACTAAAAAATCAACCCAATGAATTTTTTTGATAAAAAAAAAAATAGCTGCTTATCCCAACTGCAGTTGTTCTGTCATACATTACACAAGTCCACTTTTGTCATTCCACTCTACCTAGAGCCATATCCATGGTTAACTTGTAAAACCTCAAATCATTTTTCACTAAAGCCATATCAACCAAAGCAAGCACTCTAAATATGTCTTAAAACAACATTCTCCTCTTCTCATTACTTCTTAACACTCATTGACTATCAAGATTTGGTCCATAAGTTTATCAAAAAAAAAAAAGATTTGGTCCACAAGTTGACTCTCCTGCATAAAGGAACCTTAAACTATGTAGTGATGAATGGAAATATATTAAGGCTTTTACTATAATCTTGTACAATCTGATCAACCTAAAATCTTTAGGACGATTTTGTGAAGAGTCCTAAAGTTGTATTGTACTATTCATAGTCCCTGTTGTATCTTACGTATTCTTTCTTTATTTCTCTTTTTTATCCCTGTAAGGGCTTTTATGTAATTATACATATCTTTGTATATATAAAGGACTCTTTGGCGTGAGGGTCGATTCATTCTATTGACACCCCTGAAATGATTGTTTTCTCTCTTGTTTGAATCACCAAGTTCACATGGTACCAGAGTAGGTGATTTGATCAGCAGTGAAAGAAATTTGATTCATTGGATTAGGAGAGTGTTTCAAGAGATTTTTATTCCATCTTCGATTGCTGGATTGAGAGCTCTCTAGAGGCTGTTTTGATCAGTTCAAGAAGTTGCTGTTCTGCCTGGAAAAGACGCCTAGCAGTTTTAAGTATTGACTTCAGTGTTGTCTTCTCCCTTTGGACTGTGTTTCTTTCTTGGAGATGGCTGAAAAAATGGATGTCATGCCTGGGAAGTTTGATGGAACTAATTACAGCATGTGGAAGTTCCACTTCGACTTCTTTGTTGAAGGAAAAGGATTAGAGGGTTACTTGAATGGCACTGTTACTAAACAAGATGAAACTGAAGTGAAAGCTTTTCAGCAATGGAAGCTTGATAATGGGAAATTAGTCTTTTGGATCCTTATTTCTATTGTGCCTCATGTTTCTGTACCTATGAGGAGAATGAGGACAGCAAATGAGATGAATACTTACATGAAGAAAGTTTATCATCAGTCTAACATGTCAAGACATTATCAAATAGAATCTGAAATCTTTGCTTATTCTCAAGGAGATAAGAAGATACAGGAGTATTATGCGGCAAACTTGACTTGTGGGCTGAATATGACTTAGTTCACATTGATTTAGCCCTTTAAGGGCTTTTCTGTAATTGTATATATATATATAAAGGGCTCTTAGGGGTGGGGATCAATTCATTCTATTGACACCCCTAAAATGTTTGTTTCCTCTCTTGTTCGACTCACCAAGTTGACAAATTTTATCTGCCTCTAGGGATTTAATGCTATAAAGGTAGCATTTAAACCGGAGCTGATGATTTCTCTATCATAAATCTCATTAAATATTTTCCGTCAAATCAAATTCCAGTATTTCCCAATAGTCCCGCAAAATTTCCATTGAATAACCATCTAGACCTGGTGCTTTGTCCTTGCTCATGGAGAAGGCTGCCCTTCTAATCTCCTCCAATTCAAATTTACTTTCTAATGCTTCCATTTCAACCTATTTATTGTCAACCTTTTCAATTCCTCTACTACTTGTCTCATCTCTAGAGGTCAACAATAAATAGATATAAAATGGTCTATAGAAAGCACTTGATATCCCTTCTTCATGACTTATTACTTCCCCATTTATCACTAATCTATTGACATGATTTTTTTTATTCTCTTCCTTCCATTAGCCAATGAGAAAAAATATTTTGTGTTTCCATCACCTTGTCACAGCCATTTGCATCTAGATTTCTACCTCCAACTTATTTCTTCCATTCTTAACCAAGTCTCCATCTCAATTTTCAACTCCCACCTTTGACTTTTGGCACCTTATCTTTATTCCACATTTTTATGTTGTTCTTTACATATTCAAGTATTTTGCAAAATTGGGAGATCTTCCATCTAGCATCTATCACTCCATTCCACTATAGTTTGACTTGATTGATAAAAAACAATGTTTCAGCAACATGTTTTCAATGTGAAGAACGATGGGGCCCCAAAGGATGTTTATATAACCCTCTCTAATGGTCCTCCCAATCTATAGTAAAAAGGATGCTATCCAATTTAGAGTAAATAGATATTTCCTAAAAGTTTGTCTATATTACTTGCCTACAACAAGACCAGGTCCTTCAACTCACCAAAATAATAAATTGATTAAAATTCAATATGTTGGTTGTGATGTTTGTGTTTGGGTTAGTTGTTTTGCAAGTAAATCTTATCACATTAAATGCCCTAGAATGCACCAAGGGCCCTCCCATAATCTTCTTATCGGATATACTTCCTCCCATATACATTAGCCATTACCCATTCAAATCCATCTTCTGCATTCTCTCACCTTCACTAATATTGTGCATCTCCCAACCAACTCCTCTCTTATTGTTCCATATTGTAATTATGCTCTATCTCAACTAACTTAGATTCTTATTCTTGTATTAGGAAAATATCCTGTTTTTCTCTTCTCAATACATTTTTTTAGAGAGAGAAGATAACTGATTTCATTAAAATCAAAAAATGGGAGGGATGTACAAGCCTTGTCAGCAAAACAAAAACAAAAGACAAAGCCCACTAAATTGGCAATGTATGAGCACTATGCAAAAAATCCCATCCCAGCCCAGACTTACCTAGACTATCAGCCACTTGATTTAATTCTCGAAGAATCCATCTAAAGCTGCACTGCAAATGATGGGACTGGTAGGGCGACCAGCCTACTTCTACGGCCCAGGCCTAGCAAACCCAAGGCCCAACCCAGAATCCTCCTTGGATCACTTGCTTGACGCCACCCCTGAGGTTCGTTTACATGCGCCATCCATGTCAGGAGAATTGAGCGAGAATCAGTTAGCAGTTACCATCCATTCTCAACATAAGAGTATAAATATCTTGTAATAATCATTGATAGTGGAAACGAGAAACCCTATTTCCTCTCCTCTCTTATCTCTTCTTCTTCTTCTTCTTCTTCTTCTTCTTCTTCTCTCCTCATCTCTCAGTCCATTTCAGGAGGGTGAGCTCCCTCGAACCAGCTCCTAAGTGAGGGTCTTATCAACTTGATGTAGGACCGGCTCAGTTCTAGTCCTTAGAGAATGTGAATGGTCTTCTTGGATCAGAATTTTATGGCTGTTGATGGCTGTAATGGTTTCTTGAAGGAATAAGAGAGAAAATAGGGAGAGAAAGAAGAAAGAAAATACTTGGAATCACTCACAGGGTGCCTAGAATCACTCTAGGGCATGTGAATCATTCACCATCAAGGTTGAAAATATCAGTACAGGCGTATCGGGAAGGCTCTGATACGATATGTATCAGCTGATACAGGCCGATTCGTATCGAAATTTTGATCCTTGCTCACCATAGCTAGCATAAGCTGAAGAAAACTCAATAGACTTCATTGCCTTTGTGTAAAACGTCCTAGTAGGACTCAAACTAAGTTGTCATATACTCGTATCTTATTTCAATTCAAAGAAGACTTAATAACTCTAATCCTGCTTATGCAATGACTCTGAAATTTTAAACATAAACAAACTGTAACTATACAAATTAAACCCTATCAATGGACCCCACAGAAAATTGAAAATGACAAAAATACCCCTATTGTCCAAAAATATAGAAATACATAAAATTTCATAAAATTCCGATTTTTACTCTTCAGCTCCTGCATCATTCTCCCTCAGTTCAAAAAACTCATCCTCAAGTTTTGAAGAACTTGATATGCCCCAATTACAAAAGGAGTAGGACTTCCCACAGCTACATGCTTGAACTGTAAAGTAGAGGTCACACACAGAACTAGAAAAGGATCTTGAAAGAAATGTATTTCTAAAACACTTCCTTCCATAACCCTCTTTATTAAATCATCAATAACATTCGTTTTTTGAACACTTAATTCATCAACTAACCATTGTGATGAATATTCCCCTCACTTATCCAAACCTTCAACTGCAACATTTGGAACTTTTCCTTCAACCTCTAGCTTAGGAATCACCATCTCTGTGTTCTGCTATCCTTGGTTCTTCAACAAACTCTAGGACTCCTTCCATTGTTGATTTTGGTGGAACTTGTGCTATGCCAAGTTGTAATTCTTGAATTAGTTCTAGTTGGACTTGTAAGGTAAAGTCACTTACTTCCGTACTAGGATCTACTACAATCAAAACATTTTTATCTTGCATCTGAATTTCTTTAACTTGCTCCACTTCTATTTCTTCTTGATCATTAACCTCAAATTGATCATGAGTGTTGGAAACTCCAGCAATTTCTGTTTTTTCTTGGACTGAACCCTGTTGTTTTTTAATATCTACAACTTCTATAGCTTGACACTCTTCTTCTTTAGCTTCATCATCAACTTCGGCTCTAGGATAGGCATCAACTTGCAAGGAATCATCTACTTTCTTTCCAATTTTGTACCTTCTTCCCATTGACTTCAAGTTATTTTTTGTAACCTGTTGCTTCTTCTTTTGCTTGAAATTAGTCAACTCTATATATAGATCATCATGAAAGTCTAATGGGATGTACTTTTCTTGCAAACACCTCTTCATCTCTGCCCATGTACTAACTGGATCATCACCTCTTTCAAGTCGTTGTTC